GTTCACTTTCAGATTTCTGAGTTTGGACCTGTATCTTAAATACACCCAATGTGTGGGCAGCTGCAAATGAGAGGCTTGGTGAACTGCCCGCTGCCGAGCCTCATGGAATGCTGGCATTAGAAGGTTTCCCAGCAAGCAGAAATCAAACCATTTGGCAAGAAAATTGAAAAATCATCAGCTTTTTAAATCACCATCCTGTGAGCCCAAGACAGGATGAAGAAGCTAAAGCTGGATGCAAATCCAGACCAGAGTTAATGACTTCTTGTGTGAAATGTGCCAAGTCAGTCAAACTGGCTCTATCTCCATTCTCATCAGTGACACAAGACAGAATACAAGTCTATTCCAGAGACGCATGGGAAATAGCTAACTAATGATTATAAATGACTTCAGAAGTACAAAGTACTGTCAGAATGCTAGATTATATGTCCTAGGATGTCATGGACCTTAAAGTGGAAGTAGCATTTATTTCACAAATACAGAGAAGGCTTGGTACATTTGCAAAAACTCTGTGATACCAAAGTACCCGACTAATTCGTACTTAAACAAAGGCCCCTGTGACAAATTAACAGATTTTTGAAAGCCAGGAAAATGCCTGAAAAACCAGGAGTTCAAAAATACAGATTATGGACGAAACCAGTGTGTTTACTTGACTTGTTTTGGCAAGCTTATTTTGTGATTAAAGTGTGGTCTATGACTTCTGATAGCAGTTTTCATACTAGCAGATGCTTCATTTACTTAAAATGCTGTACAAATTCTCTGTCCTATAACAAATGACATCAGTTTGCCTTGGTTCACTTTTTAAAGCAAATATGGAAATAGAAGGTTCAATGTTAGGGCCATGGACAGCCACAGACCTGCCTTTCACAGAGCACCTTACTGATGACTAACCATGTGGCATGGGCAAATAACTCTTGTCTCTTCAAGTCTCATCCCATTATCTTTATAATGGATGAAAATAACAAACCCTGCATTCTGAAACATTCTGAAGCATGAACAAGCCCATGTACATAAACTCTTTAGCCAGTGCCTGGCATAAAGCAAATAAAAGTTCTATTTGCTTCTGTGCAATCTCACATACACAATTAAGATCTCCACTATTAATTTAAACAAGTATTGAGATATAAGCACTACTCAGGCTGACATTCGCACACCACAGGCGTTAACATGTGTACACTACATCAAGTACCTGCCTCCCTGCTGTCATCCATGGGACAAAATCCTTTTCCTTATTCTTCTCTTTTGTTTAGATGGGGTCTTACTGTGTAGCCTGCCTAGTCTAGAACTCTCCATGTAGACCAGGCTGGCCTTGAACTCAGAAATCCGCCTGCATCTGCCTCCTGAGTACTGATACTAATTGCATATACCATCACACCCGGTTATTCACTTCTTTATCTATCACTACTTCATTATATTTCTTAGATATCTGTGTGAAGACCTGCCAGAAATGACACATAAAGAACTTTATATGTGTTCACAGATAGAATCTCTACTAGCAGTTCATAAAACTTAAGACCAAGTCACTGAGGAGAAATACAGAATTATCCACTCTTTATGCTAAAATTATTTTTAAAATTCACCCTCAGGTACATGCAGCATGGCTTCATAAATAAAGAAGTTTTAGTTCCTCTGATAAAGAATATAACCTTAAAACAACTTTCCTTAAGCTCAGGAAAGCATTACAAAAACTTTCCATCTTATACAATTAGACCAGATTCCAGAGAAGCAATTTAATTACCAACTATTCAGATGAACTACTCAAAAATTTATTTAAAAAGCATACAAATAGAAACACATATTTTCTACCAAATATTAAAAAACATACAAATCAGAAGGAAATAACCAATAAGGGTCAGGGAGCAGAAAACAGGGAACTGAGAGAAAACCAAGACGAAATCCAATTAAGACAAAATAAGCAGTTTAGGAGAGAATGGTTTACAGTAACATCCAGATCGTGGCTTAGACACTGGGCGTGTCTGAGACAATGAACACAAACTAGCAGGTGCCAAGCAGATTGCCTGTCCTCCTACAGCACACTGCGGCTACCAGGTTCCCACCAAATGCTGCCAGAAGGAAACCCTGTCTTGGCTTCATCAACTCTTCTAGTTTTAATCTTGAAAAGGTGAAAGCAAGATTTATCAGTGAAATCTCCTTGTTTTTAAACTATCAACTAATTCTTCTTCTAAAGAAAATTAAATCACTACATGGGCCAAACAAACTATAACTCTGTTGTGTTCAGCACACCAACTTCAGGAACTTTAAAGCAGTATAAGAAAGTCATGGATAATACCCTGAAAGTGACCAGAAGAAGGCCAGGACCAGAATAGAGCCCATTGGGCTAGCACAAAGAACTGAGAATTTCAGTGATGAAGCGGTCCACACGGATAAAGGTCATTATATTTCTTAAAAACCCATACTCTGGAGTTACTACTCACCCTCATAGTAGTACTATGTTGGCTGGAATTATAAACAAGAGTGATACAGAAATCACACAAGAGACCAAATTGTAAATGACCCTAATTTAGTCCTTGTCAGACTTCTAGAAAGGCAATGATGTATTTCAGTAAGTCATACTAGTCATCCCAACCATGCTGAAATAAAATTATAAACTTCAAGCAGAAAATGTGAAGCCAGGAGACCATGTGGGAATCATTCCTTCCTTCTACCATGTGCGATACAGAGCTCAAAGTCATGTCTTCAGACTTGGTGACAAGCACTTTCACGCACTGAGTCACCTCACTGGTCTCTATAAACCTTTTCTATGAACAGTCTCCCAATGAAGTTCTGGATAATTATCTGATCTATAAATTCCTTGTATTTTGAAGATTCATTAAAATCAGACATTGTCTTCAAAGTAATGGTTACATGCTACAGGCTTAGGCTTCTTTGTTTGAAATTTTCAATATCAGGTTCTTATGAACTGTTCACCTACACATAATCAGCTTCATAATGAGTCAGGTGTATAAGTATGAAATTCATCTATGATTCATATCTATCATACAGACCTTTCACAGTCCAAGTAATGATGTATAATATTTTTTAAATGTCCATGAAACCTAAATTTAAATGGGATAGGTTTTCCTATGTATGATGTCAATGCTCAAAATTTTAAATTTGTAACAATTCAGATTTGTAATTTTTCAGGTTAAGGACACCTAAAAAAGGGCAAAAACAAAATGTTCTTACATTGTTCCTTTCTCCCTTCCAAATTACCAAAAGACCTAAGGAAAGGTAAAGCAGAAAGCACTCGTTTTGTAAACAAGCACAATTTTATATTTTGTCTACTCACAGCTGCCAATTAGTTTAACAGCAACTTCTCAGATTCTCTCAATGATATACAAAGACACTTGGCAAGCATTTATTTATTAAGCACCTAGGAATTTAAATCTTTTAATGCTAGTTAACAAGAAGTTGTTTTTAAGCACATAGAGAAAAATAAACAAATACAAATAACTAGTTCTCTGTGTAGATACACTAGAAAGAATCAAATATTAAAGAAGTAAACATTAGCCAACCTAGCCTGGGTGTGAAGGTCTGGGGACGTGTGCCAAAGAAGGGTCCATTTAACTGAGGAAAGCAGGTGAGGTCGGTAAAGTGTTCAGGAAAGTGAGAACAAAGGTGAGTGTTGGGTCAGGAGAGTCAGGGTGGGTGTTGGGTCAGGAGAGTCAGGGTGGGTGTTGACTGAGGAGAGTCAGGGTGGGTGTTGAGTGAGGAGAGTCAGGGTGGGTGTTGAGTGAGGTGGGTCAGGAGAGTCAGGATGGGTGTTGAGTGAGGAGAGTCAGGGTGGGTGTTGGGTCAGGAGAGTCAGGGTGGGTGTTGAGTGAGGAGAGTCAGGGTGGGTGTTGAGTGAGGAGAGTCAGGGTGGGTGTTGGGTCAGGAGAGTCAGGGTGGGTGTTGAGTGAGGAGAGTCAGGGTGGGTGTTGAGTGAGGAGAGTCAGGGTGGGTGTTGGGTCAGGAGAGTCAGGGTGGGTGTTGAGTGAGGAGAGTCAGGGTGGGTGTTGAGTGAGGAGAGTCAGGGTGGGTGTTGGGTCAGGAGAGTCAGGGTGGGTGTTGAGTGAGGAGAGTCAGGGTGGGTGTTGAGTGAGGAGAGTCAGGGTGGGTGTTGAGTGAGGAGAGTCAGGGTGGGTGTTGAGTGAGGAGAGTCAGGGTGGGTGTTGGGTCAGGAGAGTCAGGGTGGGTGTTGAGTGAGGAGAGTGAGGGTGGGTGTTGAGTGAGGAGAGTCAGGGTGGGTGTTGGGTCAGGAGAGTCAGGGTGGGTGTTGAGTGAGGAGAGTCAGGGTGGGTGTTGAGTGAGGAAAGTAAGGTTGGATGTTCAGTCAGAAAAAAACAAGAGTGCATCAAAGGGAAAGAATTGATGCTACCAGAGTTTAAAGATGGAGAAAAAAGAATTTTAAATAAGATTTAAATCAGGACAGAATAAATGCATCAAACAGAGAAAAAACACATTTGCTCAACTAACATTAAAAGCTAAAGTGAAAGTTATAAATTCACCAGTTACGTTTTTCCACAATCAGCTGACTTGCTCCTTCACTGGTTCATGCCAACTGGACCAAGACCATGTACAAGCAGTTGTGGGCAGGTACCAATGTGCACACACATCGACTGGCACAGATGTGCCTCTTACTGATTCCTGTTATTATGAATTTTCTTATTAATAATTTCTTATGTATATGAATCCTTTTTTTAAAAACACTCATGAATCTACAATATTTTTAGAATTTACTGATCCAAAGTAAACCTCAATTGGTTGACCAATGTGTCCTAAACCTGCACCTCACCTCTAACAGTAGCTTAACTGGCCATTACTCTTCTACCTACCTCATTTTACTTTGAGCACAGTGATATGCTCATATATCTATAAAGCCCTTTAAATACAAGAATCTGTGATTGCACTGTTCTCAATATATAAAGGAAAACAACGTCTGGATGAAGTTCTAAAGCAAAATGAGCTCTTTTCTAAAGTTTGAAACTGTTAAAAAATTGACAATTTAAACATAATACATGTTGATTCAACTCCTTTATCATTTATTCTTTTGGCAAACATCAGATAATGAGCAAAGCTATCTTGCTCATAATAGTTACACATTCTTTGTTTTACTTTTTACAGGCTGTAAACATATGTAAGTGAATAAAATTCTTGGCTGAAGACAAATTTCAGAATTTTGACATACACATTTCCAATCAAGACTAAAGAGAAAGCTCATGGGATACCACTAGCAGCAGCAAATTTAATTCGCATTATGTTGTTTTTAAATTAACATCTGCATTCTTAAAAGACTCTTTTTTTCATTTAAAGCTAAAATGGTAGAAGTTGGCCATTCACTCTATTTATAAATATACTGGCCATTTTAAATAAAACATAAACACAAAAAACAGAAATACATAATTAAGTAATTTAAATTCTTGTCAAAACAACAAAACATCAATGAGTTATTTTTTGCAGTGACTAAGTTTCATATTTTGTTTTGTTAATCCTCAATGCGTTATTTTAACATGAAGATATTATTCAAAAAAACCTCAAAGCATTCAATTTACAACTTCATTCTTTTGTAAATTTCAGAGAAAAAAAGAAAGATCAGATGTTACAAAGCAGGCACCCTTTAGAACACACCGTGTAGGAGGCAGAGGAAGTTTTAGTCTGCTGGAATGATCTCAAAAGTCCTGACTTGCTCTCATGACCACAGTCTCTACCATCTTGTCAGTGTTACCTACTTATAACATCATAAGTCCATTATTTACTCATAGAAAGTATACATGGACCAAAAGTCCAAATATTATAAACGTGATGCTCAATCTTATTATATTTCTAATGTGGAAAAAAAACGATCAAACCAAAAAGTTTCATTTTCATGAATTTGGTTTTTTTTTTGTTGGTGCTAGAGTAACCCTCAAGCCTCCTGCATGATAAATGATAAGCTAGAGCTCTGCTAGAGCTGTGTCCCCATCCATGGTACTGTGCTACACAAGCATAGCAGACACCCTTCCCCATGTGGGTACAACTCTCTTACAAAGAATTGTCAGAAGTGATTGGAAATTTAAGTTACAGAAATCATTCTCCAGAAAACTGTTCTGTACTGATTTTCAGCTCTCGGCTCCTGAATAGTGACCTTCAATTGTGTGTGTGTGTGTGTGTGTGTGTGTGTGTGTATTTAAACATCTGAGTAAAAAAAAAGCGATACAGTATGTAACTACACAATCCGTAGCCAGGGCTTTCTTTGAATCCTAGAAAGTGAGCATAAACAGAGACCCTGTTAGGACAAAAAGGGGGAGACTCAGAAGAATGTGACCATGGCCCCTTCTGCATTACTAACGCACCGCCTTGCACAGGTGTGCAACCACAGGCCACTGGATATCCCTCAGTGGAAAAAGGCTCTAGGGAAAGCAAAGCCACTGAGAAGTGTTGGAGAAAATGCAGGAAAATGTAAAAATTCTTAGTTGTGAAGAGAATAAAGACACAAAGTAACTCCAGCCTCAAGCTTGAAAAAACAGCAATGCAGAAGTCGGTCTTTTAAAAGGTATACACAGCCAGGAGTTGGTGGCGCACGCCTTTAGTCCCAACACTCGGGAGACAGAGGCAGGTGGATCTCTGTGAGTTCGAGGCCAGCCTGGTCTACAGAGTGAGTTCCAGGACAGCCTTCAAAACAACACAGAGAAATCCTGTCTTGAAGAAAAAAAAAAAAAAGCTATACACACAGAAAAGGACAATCTTCAGTTTGTTAAATAGGTTGAAAACAGACACAATGAACACATGTTTATACTGATTCTGTCTCATTTCTTTGAATGTAACTGATCCTCAGGTAAGTATTCAAAGCTTCCTAAAAGTGGTTTCTCCTTGGCTGCAGAGATGTGCTACATAACAAGCTTCACCTCGCTGATCCTAGGAATAAAGACCAAAGTTACTCTGACCGTGCTCATTTTACAATAAATGTGCTGCCACTGCAATATGTTCCTACCATGATAGAGACAGGCTCTCTGTATTTAAAAAAAAAAAATCAAAATACTTAATTTAGGAATATAAAGTTGTGGGGCCAAAATTTAAAACAAAATTTATTCAAAATCAGAATGTCCAGGATAACTAAAACTCATTAGTGAGAAGTGTAACATCTTAGAATAATGTTCTCCACAACAGAATTTAAGTTCTAGGAATGCCATTAAGAGGGCACTGGTTAAAGTTAAACCAATGTATTTCTAAAAAGCCTGTTAGTAAGCTTATTCATAAATCTGACTAAAGGTAGCTGTGTTTTTCAGTAGCATTTACAACAATCTAGCTCTTGGTAGGAATATGCAGATTGGCACACTACAAAACAGTGTAACATTTTGTAAACTAGCTGCAATTTTCAGTAGCTGAGTTCACCAACCGTGTGACAGAATTATAATGTTCTCCTAAGCCATATGCATGCCTCATGTATCTGAAATGGAAAAAGAGAGAAATCAGTCGTTTTGAGGAGGTAACGTATATTACATACAGACATACATAACTAAGTACTTTGAATGTCCCATTCCATAGAGGTATCATTAATTGACAATATGAGCATATTCATGTCACATCATGTCACAAGTGTTAGCAAAGGCTGAGATGCTAATGGCTTAATGAGGTCAAACTTTGACTAAAGTTCAAACTACTAATAAGAATAGCTAAAATCACACACACACACACACACACACACACACACACACACACACACACACACACACACAGAAACTGGAGAAATAAACCCTCCAAATTGAATGTGAGGGACCAATTCTCAATCATGCAAATACATTTAAAACATGAAGAACTGTTTGAATAACCCCATCTGTTATGCTAATTAAAAATTAATTAATGTCAATGTGGGCAACACACAAGACTAGCCTGAAATTTTATAGACCTTTGAAAGGACTTTCTTCTTAGCTCATACAAAAAAAGAAAAAGAAACAAAGATCAATAGCCTAAGAGATTATGTAAATCACACATTCTGATGCTATTTCTGATTGCCTTTAAAATAAGCAAAATTAATTTAGCATTTTGATTAATCAGTATGTACAACCCAAAATCTTCACATACCTTTTTGTCTTAATTATGAAAAATAAAATAGTAAAGCTTCCTAGATACTTACACTAGTATTAAAGGATTCTTTGGATACTCTTCACCAACTACAATAGGAGGAGCATCTGCTTGTAGTATCTCAATTGGTGTTTGTAATATGTGAGACAAAGCTCTTAGCTATAGGGGAAAAAATGGATTAGCAAGAGAAACAAAATTGCAAATCTTATTCAAATAACAACTACTGAAGTACATACACAGAACATGGTAGTCAGTCAGAGCAAATATGTGCTCTGTTCATAATAGTACCAAGGTCTCAAGTGAGTGGACACTTAGTATTTGTTGAATTGATGAAAAACTCAAAATAAATCAATGCATAAAGTAACTAAAAGCCAGGAGTTTCTCAAGTCTTGGACATAGACTAGCTCTGTAAAAATACCAATGTCAAACTTGGTGAAGTGGGTGAAGGGTAGATTGTGATTATTATACCAGTCTCTGGGGTTGAAAACATTCCATTTGTCATAATGATACAATTTTTAAATACTAGTGGCTAAGGAGCAGACCAAACCATTACTGGCCAAAGGACAGGGACTAGGTCTGGCAAAACATGAGATTCCTTTTAAAGGCTTCTCAGATGACACTGATACAGTCAGCAGTAAGAACAAGGTATATATGTGAATTTCTCTGGCCCGTGATGGAATCTCCATCTGGTCAGCATGCAGTACTACCTTAATTTTATAACATACAACATAACCTTAGAGCTTAACGCCTAATGAATAATAGTCACTAATAAAGTAGTGCTAATGGCCACTGACATGCTGTAACTAAGCACTACACTCATGTATATACTTTAAGTGAATTAATTCATGCGGCCTTCCTAATAACTTCATGGAACAGATACTGATGAGTTGGTTTCAGTTTGGGTTTTTTTTTTTTTAGGGTTGGGGGGGGGGCTTGTCTGTCTGTTGATGTGACCCAGCTGCTTGAGAAACGGCTATGTAAACAAGGTCGGCTTCAACTTTGCAGAGGTCCTCGGGCCTCTGCCTCCCAAGGACTGGTGTTACAGGTGTGAGCCACCATACCCACTTGACTGTTATTTTTTTTTAACACCTGGAAACTGAAGTAGAAGGATGCTAAAAGATTTCTCTGGGTCAAACAAAATTAAATGACCCTGTTGAATTGAGGAAGCTGACTGAATCTAGAACCCGAATTCATACCCAAATCCATCACTGCTAGTCTTCCAACATGGATTGTTAATTTATACGTCTGCCCAATTACAAAGGTTACACCAATAACATAGAACTTTTATGAGGTTTGCAATGAATGCTAAAAATTATTTCAGGAATATGAAAAGGATTCTATGCTACATGAAAAAATAAAATCCCCATATTCTTTTGCAAAATAGTCCTTTGATACATTTTTCTTTAACTAGCACAGAGTAGTGTGCAAAGCAATGTCTTCAAAAAGCCACATAAAAGGACTAGTGAGATGGCATAGCAGGTTAAGGCCCTTGCCACCAACCAGACAACTTGAGTGTGATGCATGTGCTGGAAAGAGCATCAATCGCTGAAACGTTTTCCTCAAACTGCAGTAAGTGTGCTGTGGCACTCATATTAACACTCACACACACACACAATCAGATTTTCTTTGGCTTTGGTTTTATAATATATTTTTTTCCCACTGTGAAAACAACAACTTGTACTTCAAAGGAATTCACAAGCAATGGATGAGCAAATATCCTTCCAGATGTTTTTACAACTCTCTCAATTAAATTATGTCAGCTTAACAGAATTAAGTCTCCAGTACCATCATATTACTTAGTGAACCTTTTGAAGTAGTTCAAGTTTCTTTATTCCTGCCATCACAAAGTTCGTAGAACAATTGTAGAGTGTGTGAGTCAGGAAACAAAACTTATGGAGACAGTTCCCTCTGGTGGAGAGGTCCAACTACAGCATTGTATTAAAAATTATTGCAAAGAAATATTTACATATCATCTTCAAACAACAGTTTAAAAGGTCTTCAGGGACATAGACTACTGAAGACAACTAGTCACCTTTATAAAATATTAGCACCACTAAAGTCATTTATCTGCCATCTTAGTTCACAAACTCTTGTGTATCATGTACTCCCTAACTTAGCTATTGTCACAGCATTCAACTAAGTACAAGAGGTCTTACTGAACCATTTTAAAACTAGTGGTCAAGAAGTTGGATGACTCATCCAAGGCACAAAGGAAAAGTCTGAGCATGAGCCTAGGAGTTACCACCTCAGACTTCTTGTCACCACAAGGCCTAACTGAATGCTTTGTTAATCAAGGTTAACAGAAAATTTTAAAATTAGAGCTCAAGGAAGTCATGCTAAGTTTCTGTGTGTCTGAATATATTCTTTTCTTAAACAATATTAGTGCATCAATTTATTGCCTTCAAGTAATATACTAACATACAGGAATTAAACAGATAATTATTATAACAAATGTGTTATGGTAAGATTTAGTCGAAATAAAATTTTCATTTTGTATTCCCTAGGCTGGTCTAACCTCTTCATCTTCTGGCCTCAGCCTCCCTAATGATGGGATTACAGGCACTTAAGTCTGACCTTGGTTCATTTCTATTTCTGATATAAAGAGGAAGTTATTTTTCCAACACTGATCTACAAGATTAAAAGGGACTTTCATGGGATAAAGTCTACAATAGGTTCTCTCTTTATATAGCCCAGGCTGGCATCCAACACTGCCTCTCCACTGCTTGTATTACAGGTGAGCACCACCACATCAAGTATTCTTTTTTTTAAGATACAGAAAAATCAAACAGATTGGCTGTAGAAGCATCACAAATGAAAACATTCAGATGAGCCAGCACTTGGGAGGCAGAGGCAGGTTGATAGCTGTGCGTTCAGAACAGGCTAGTTAACAAGAGTTAGTTACAGGACATGTTTCCAAAGTTGCACAGGGAAACCCTGTCTCAAAAAACACCAGCTTCCGTAAGTCACAAATCCAACACTGAGCTACTTAAGATGAAACCGTGCTTCACTAACTCAAAGATACATGGTCTAATCCCAGGCACAAAAAAAAAATGTGCCTATTTCCTTGTCAGTAGAGAAATGGCAAATGTAGAAAGAAAAAGGCATCTTCAAAGAGATACTGGGTTTAGCTAAAAAAAAAAAAAAAAAAAACTGAAAACTACAAGTGGGATTGATAAATAGTTTAACACCTACAACTGCCATGAGCTCACACACTTACCTCAAGCTGACCTCCCCATGCCGCTGTGTTCACAATATCATCACAGTATTTTCCAAATTCTTCTGTAGAGAATACATCAGAATTTTTATGTCATCACACAATTCTTGATGAGAACAGCTCCCTTCTGTATCACCTCCTTTTAAAATGTAATCTACTTCCCAGAAAAACCCACCCCAACTTGCCACCTTCTTTCTATCCAAGAGCAAAGCATTTCTACTTCTCCCCTTCAACCTGGGACCCAGAGTTATCCATAATTAACTGACCTCTCCTCTCCTTATCTAATGTTATGACTCCTAAGAATGTCAGCAAATTCATTATTCTCACAAGTGCTCTAAAGCCAAAAGTGCATACAAGGTTAAAATATATGGCCTTCTATAATTAGGCTTACTATAAGAGCCTATAGAGAGTCAAAGTACAAATGAGTTTGCTCTCTCCAGGGGTAGCGGCAAATAGTTCCTCAGCTTCTCTTTATATGATTTGTATCAGTGTCACTTTTAGTAAAAGGAAGAGATTTTTCTGAATCTCTGAAAGAAGTAAAAGACCTAACCTCTGAGTTTACAATAGGCATATTATTGTACACATACACTTTCAAATGCAGCGTGTTAAAATGGTTTTGCTAAACAGGAGATGGAGAATGGCTCAGGAGGTAACAGCATTTGCTGCTCATTCTTCCAGAGAACCTTGGGTTAAATTCCCAGCACCCATGAGAGAGCTCACATCTGTCCTCTTCTGGTCTCCAAGGACATAGGCTCACACATGGTACATAGATATACATGAAGACAAAATATCCATACACATGAAATGAAGCCAAACATCCTTCCTATCCAAGGAAGGGAAGAAAAGCTATGACAACTAAAAGACAAATATGCCCCAAATGTTAATCTGTTTTGTATTAAGTCTACATTTTCAAAACAGTACCTAGAATAAATACCATACCCTTTAATAACAATTTACTGAATGGCACGCCTTTAATCCCAGCACTCGGGAGGCAGAGGCAGGTGGATCTCTGTGAGTTCGAGGCCGGACCAACAGCCTCGAAAACAATACAGAGAAACCCTGTCTCGTAAAAACCAAAAAAAAATTTTTTTACTGAATGAACGAACTAAAACTTTTGTCTTTTTAATATATCAATCAAATGATCTAGCAGTGTTGTATAGACAAGTTTAAGAATTCTGATATATGCAGTCACACTTGAGATCTCTCTATAGATACCTAGCACATGCCTCACTCATCACAAATGACCAACTCCACTGCCTGTGCTCATACTGTACATTCTGTGCTATGTTCTACCTCTTCTATGGAGGGCCGACTCCATTTAAGAAAATCAGCCTGTGCCATCCCTTCCCCAAGTCCTCCTGGCCACTCCCAGTGGAAACTGCCATACCTATGATCTTCCTTACTTTCCTTATTCTTAACATCCCTGACGAACTTTCAGATTTTAACTTAGTATCACCCTTGTTTGCAAATTGTGTTTTTCTGTTTGTTTGTTTGCTTTGCAAGTTGTGATTTTTTTTACTTTATCATAAAACTGTTCCTTAATTACCAATTTATTTTAATAAAAAGGTTAGATTATTGTTCATGAAGGGTTGTGAAGTCAAATTTTACTTAACTAGTAGCCTTTTAGCTATAGCTTATTGAAAGTAACGTTATACTTCCCTGAGTATGATTAAGTTAGTTTTCACAATCATTGCTTACTCATGATTTTAAAGCCCTACACCTATGTACTTACAAATACTGATCAAAACTCACCTCCTTCTAACTTTGTTAAAAGAGAAACTAACATATAACTTTCAATAATGACTAATCCTACTCTTATCTTATTTTCTTAATGACTTACATATAGCAATTAATATATTTTACCTACAAAATCGTTAAGTACTTAACAGATAAAGTAGAATATATCTGCATCTATTCCAATTATAGGAAATAATTTTGCCTACATTCTAATGATCTATTCTTCATAAGAAAGGGCTTACATGCTACACCCAAAAAGCATTTATTACAAAACCAGAAGCACTAACAAAATGTAGTGAAGAAAGCTATACCACCTGGAGTATACATATTTCCTGTGTTGGGGTTGGTTAAAAAGGGCAGGAAGTCTTCGGAATGGCTCTGCATGTACTCAGCAGTCTGCTTCCGCAGGGCAGCCACAGTCAGAGCACAGTCCTGCTCTCTCAGCTGGTCCTCAAGCGCTCCATACATACAATGGCCATCAGAAGGAATTTGCTTAATTTCCAATTCTCTGGCTGCCAATATCTGAGCAAGTTTTTCACTCTCTACATGTCTAGCTCCAGATAAGTTCTCAATTTCAGCCTCAGCTATCCTTTCTTCCCGCTCCTTTTCCAAAGCAGCCTTTTTCTCCTAGGACAAGAATATAGGAAAGTTAATTGGTAATATTAGGGTTAATTCACATTTTGAAATTTTTTTGCCATTTTCCCTCTCCCACAAGCATTGTCATTTTGATCCCCTCACTATTTCAGGACTTTCTAACTACAACCATTAAAGGAAATTACCCCATTTATCTGGCCCCTGTTCTTAGCACTTCACTCTGTACCAGCATATAAAAAAGCCTTTCTTATAGCCAGGTACAGTGGAATAGGTCTACAGTTCCACTTGGAAAGCTGATACAGAAGGATGACATATCTGAGGAGGGCTTGGGCTACTGAGTTCCAGTCTAGCCTGGCCTGCAATGTGACAGCCTGTCTCCCACAGAAAAAACAAAAGGACATGGGGGGTGGGGTAAAGGGACTAGGAGAGCAAAGGGAAGGGAGAGGAAAAAGAAAACTTGAACAGAGACCTTAAGAAATCTGCTTGTGGGCTGGAGAGATGGCTCAGAGGTTAAGAGCGCTGACTACTCTTCCAGGGGTCCTGAGTTCAATTCCCAGCAACCACATGATGGCTCACAACCATCTACAATTCAATCTGGTGCCCTCTTTAGGCATGTAGACAGAACATTGTATATGTAATAAATAAGTCTTTAAAAAAAGAAAGAAACCTGCCTGTTTGTTTGCTTATGTGCGGCACTGTCTTTCTGTGGTAGCTAGGCTAGCCTACTCTCTCCATCCTTCAGGATTACTGGCATTTGCAACTACAACTGTCCTCATAAAGTCTATTTAAAAACATATCAACAAGCCGGGCGGTGTGGCCCACGCCTTTAATCCCAGCACTCGGGAGGCAGAGGCAGGCGGATCTCTGTGAGTTCCAGGCCAGCCTGGTCTACAGAGCGAGTTCCAGGACAGCCTCTAAAACAATACAGAGAAACCCTGTCTCGAAAAACCAAAAAAAAAAAAAAAAAAAAAAAAAAACATATTAACAACTTGACTAGCTGATTTCAAAGTACTGTCTTAGGATGCAGTTGCCCTGGGAATAACAGCCCACACTTTAATCCCAGCAATTGGGAAGCAAAGGAACTCGAATCTCTGTGAGCTTGAGGCCATCCTGATCTACATAGTGAGTTTCAGGACAGCCAGAGCTACAGAATAAGACACTATCAAAAATATTAAAAAGATTCAGCTGTCCTCAGTCTTAAAGTCAGGATCATAATTAAACCCAAAGAAACCCAAGTTTAATTCACTCTGCCACAGTGGATTCACTATGTTAAAACCACCAGAAGGGTACAGACAGATACAACTTTGATCTGTTTTCTTAAAGTGGGTAACACCTATACATATAGATTTTTTTTAAAGCCTGCTTACGTGTAATTCAAGAATTACAGTAGACTAAAATCCCTCTAAATCCTAGTGTTCCCTAAAGCTCTGGATGCATATCCTTCCAGATTCTTCTATGCACTATAATAAACACAATTACAATTACAGAAAAGATGGCATACCCTTTGTAACAAAAATGGCATTATTTTCTATATAGTATAATTTACTTTCTTACTTAAACAAGGAAATAGGAATTCTTGAGATTTTTCCCAAGACTGCATATCCAGGCATGTTGTAGGATTCAGAGAAGTCAACAAGAGATGTCAGTAAGTACAGTGGGAAATTGCACTGGGGGACGGAGGCAAAGGAAAACATCCCCAATAGTTGAACTAGTAAGAATCACAAGCCAGAGAACATCCATGTTTCGTAGCTAAAAACAATTCACAGAACTAGCATATAAGAGAAAAGTATCAATAGATGAGAATGCTGGCTAAAGACAGGTTTGTCATTAATAAATATTGTTTGTGCTAATATAGTACTATCACAACATTTGTAGTTCTTTCTGGATGGTAGAACAGTGTTGTTAGCGGGTTATTATTGTGCTTTAAAGTTTCTAATGTCAGTCATGGGCATATTTAAGAGGAAAAAAAAACCTCATTAAACTTGGCAAATTTTTTTCTCCAATACAGGGTTTCTCTGAGTAGCTTTGTAGACCAGGCTGGCCTGGAACTCACAGAGATCCAACTGCCTGTGCCTCCCAAGTGCTGGGATTAAAGGCGTGCGCCACCACTACCCAGTCAACAATTTTCTTTAGCTTACGTTACTGTATTATATAATATCAGTACTTAGTCCCATGTATGCCTGTGCTCTAAAGGCATGCAGTTCCCAGAACCAGAAGAGGGTGTGTGTGTGTGTGTGTGTGTGTGTGTGTGTGTGTGTGTGTGTGTGTGTGTGTAGAGAGAGAGAGAGAGACAGACAGACAGACAGACAGACAGACAGAGAGACAGAGAGAGAGACAGAGAGAGATCCCCAGAACGTTAGAGATGACAGTGTGTGTATGTGTGTGTGAGAGAGAGAAAGAGAGAGAGAGAGAGAGAGAGAGACAGAGAGAGATCCCCAGAAGAGAGAGAGAGATCCCCAGAACTAAAGTTACATATGACAGTGTGTGTATGTGTGTAATCCCCAGAACAAAAGTCACAAATGTAAGTCACCGTCCCAGGTCCTCAGGAGAGCAGCCAGTGCTCTTAGCCACTAAACCATCTTTAAGCTCCTGAGAAATCCTGATTTAGTAAATTACAGATGGAAAAAAAATGGTAAAGCAATGTTAACAAAAGGTAAGGACTTTCATGCTCTAACTTCAGCCCCCCTGGGGCAGAACAGGAAGGCACAATCCAATACACTGAACTGTTCTCTCATGTGGCCATGGTGGTTTTCGGTGTGAGTTTAAGGACCTGAATCAAACAAAAACAATAATAGCTCACTAACAAACACAGACCAGCATAGGTTTTTTTCTTCCAGCTTGAAGCACAACAAAAACAGCATGATTTACCTCACTGTTAACTACAACTGCATCTGAGTATAAAATCTTAGGACACAAGGTGGCACTATTCCTTTATAAAAGACTAAAACCAGTTTCAGAGGGGAAAGAAAGAGTAAGCACCTTAGGCATCATCTAATCCAAAACACTCAATTTCCTCTTCTGAGGAAACAGCACACAGAAAGATTTCCAAAGACCACACAGCTGGTTAGAGCAGGGGGCTGGGGACAACACCCAGAGCTCCTTCTATGCAGGTACCTGAATCAGAATAAAGGTTAGAGCAGGTAGAAGCAGCAGATAACGTCGTTTACTTTTCTTTACCTACTTTTAATCTGTTAACAAACACCCAGTGTCTCAGGTGAAAGGCATTCTGGTATGAATCACTGTCATTAATAGCATTCCATACAGGTAAGTCTTGATTATTCCAATTTCTCACAAATTTGGATACTTTTACTGCCTGTATCATCTCCAGGGGAGAGAAGAGAAAGAGACCCTTGCAATTATTTCTCAAGACATACACAAAAATGTAGTATGCAGGCCAGCAAACTGACCTCACAAAATGCTGGACATGGAGCAAGGGTTTTCCAGTCATAGTCTCCACACCTAGAGGACAAGCTGTCACCTAAAAGCTCCTCTCTAATGAAGTGGTCATTCACTTTTTTTACTGACAGAATGGAACTTCATTCTATCTTCCCAGCCTTTAAGACTCTTAAATGCTAATTTCTATGTGTATGTGCCTAATAATCTGCTTCATAACTAAAAAGCAAAATGAGCTTGCTTTCAGTAAATCAGGTGGGAAATTCATTGGTTTCTTGTCTCTGTGGGAGTTTCCAACATTAGCTACTCTTCTACAAAGATAGTCCTAGAGACAGATTGGTAATAAAGCTTAATAAAACCAATAGATGGGAGACAAGAGCACAGGACTCACAAACACAGTGCTAGTACGACTAGAGTCGTGTTGATTTGGGCATTAGTCCAGGTCTGCAGTAAACTTTCCCTCTCACTATGATAGCATAAGTCTCATCTTTCTCATTTGCAAAACAAAGAAACTAAATCTCATTCTACCTCTCAAGTTCCTTATTTTTGGAAATCAATTATTTTACTTCTACCTTTTTTTTGGTTGGGGGTGGGGAAGGAAGTTGGAGCAGTTGGTTCTCTACATCCACCATATGGGCTCCAGGGATTGAAGTCAAGTCCTCAGGTTAAGCAGCAAGCAACTTTATCCACTGAACCATCTTGCTAGACAGAAAATCCTGAGTTTAATAAAATTCCCCCACGTTTCTCCAAATTAAAAGTAACAGACCTCAAGAATCTTATGATAAATCACTACAACTGCTGTGCTTTTCTTCCAGAATTGTCTTTCTACCAAAATGACCACCAAACTAATGTCAAATTTGCCCATTCTGAATTCAGTTTCCATTCTATTAAGCACTATGAACATTTGGTGTTCTCTGCTCCAAAAGCCCAAAAGATTAACAAAGGAACAAACTGGGAACTATTTTCTCTGCCAAGTGATAAAGCAGTAGACTATAAATAAATATTACTAAATCTTCCAGAGTATAGTTGGTAAATGTATTAATTTCAGATAGGAGAGAAGTAACAAGCTTTTAAAGAAGATAGATCCAGGTATGAATAAACAGGAATTGATCAACAGAGGAGATACAGCCTTGGTTTTTAGAAATAAACAGGCTAACATTAAATAAAGCAATTAATAAGTTCAAATAATTTTTTGACTTGTTATATAAATGGTATACAAAACACCCGTTTTTGATGTATAGAAGAAAAGTAACAATTGTGGGACCATGACAAAAAAGAATGGCTACCATAAATAAGGAGTTGAACTAGAGTAGCATGACCTCTAAATGATTCTTTGGAATTCACAATAATATTAGTCAAGAGTAAAATTCCATATGCTAAATATATTTGACTATTTGCAGCATAGCATAGCTTTCATACACAAAGAGACAGTGTCATGTGCCTCACTTTTTCAGAGGAATATGACGCACTTAAAAAGGTAAATGTTATCATTTGTTGACACCAGTTCTCCAGGCCTCGTATTAATGGTCCTGGCCAGTTTATTATTTAATATCCATAATAGTCCTCTGACATAGGTATTATTTTCCCCTATCTACTATTGAAACTGAATTCAAAGTCATGAAAGTAAGTGAAATGCAAACCTTACCTGGAGCTGGGAAGCAGCCTAGGGCCCTGACTGACCCTTAAAAAAGGGAAAACATCTGACACTAAACTCATGCTCTACTATATTATGTACTTAAGAAAACACTATGAAACATGCACTTGCATCTTAGAAAACATGAATTAGTAACAGTACTCCGAACAAAAATATGATTTTTAAGTTTCCTTTCCTAAAGTGAAATGGGCTTACCCACCTCATGCCATTCTCGTTAATACACTCTTCCTAACAAATCTAATGCTGAGCAGGACGTTGGTGGCGCACGCCTCTAATCCCAGCACTCGGGAGGCAGAGGCAGGTGGATCTCTGTGAGTTCGAGGCCAGCCTGGTCTACAGAGCGAGTTCCAGGACAGCCTCCAAAGCCACAGAGAAACCCTGTCTCGAAAAAAAAAAAAAAATCTAATGCTGTATCTCATTGCCACATTTGTTTTTATTATGTTATGTCTCCTGTGTAGAATAGCTCGTCTACATGGGGGAGGGTCTAGGCCCTGCTCCAAATGATATCACAGACTTTGAAGATCCCCCATGGAAGGCCTCACCCTCCCTGGATAGCAGGAAGGGGATAGGACAGGGGGTTGGTGGGGGCAGGGGAGGAGGGAGGGAAAGGGAACTGGGACTGGCATATAAAACAAGCTTGTTTCTAATTTAAAAAAAAGAAAAAAGAATATCTTGTCTAAACATTTATCTTTCCTTCAAATTATAACACATCATTAACACCTGACATAATGAAGTTTCCCTTCTCTGATGTATAGTGTAACTAAGCATTATATAGATACCAACATAATTCTCTGAGAACACTGGATCTCTGCTGTTCTACTGTACTTCTAAGTTCAAACCTTCACTTTACTAATTGTTTCAAAGTATTTTTTAATGTTTATTTTTTAATTTTGTCTATTTGTTTGTGTGGAGGTGGATGTGAGCATGTAAGTACAGGTTCCCATGGAGACCAGAGGTGTCAGATCTCCCTGGGGCTGCAGTTGTAGATGGTTGTGAGCAGCCCCAAAAAGGAACTGGGAACCAAACTAAAGTTGCCTAAGAGTAGTCTGAGCACTTGTCCACTGAGCCATCTTTCCAGCCCCCAAGCACTAAAATTTTAACAAAGATGTGCATCAGTCATATGACCCCAGACTGAAAATTTCTAAATTTTCAATATTGTATTTGTCTAAGAAAAAAGTCCTTTGCCTCCCCATTTCCTACAAGAACTGCAAACTAGACATCTTATTTTTCATTGTCTTATACTTACTATCTTCTCTAAAAAGTAAGGAAAGGAAAACCTACCTCACAAGATTACTGTCAGGATTAAATGAGATTTTAATATAAATAACTAGAATATTATCTGACATATGGCAAGCACAGGTCCCTAGACAAGGAACTCCAATTTGTTTTAATCTTTTATAGAATACGGAAGGAAGTATTGAGCACTAGCTTATATACTTGGTGATATGATTTTCATACCCGTCTCTTTTGTGCTTTTGAAATCCGAGGTGGTTGATTCTCAAGTACCAAGTCTGAAATGTTAACAGCAACCGAATCTATCTGAAGGAAAAACATTTAAGAAAAGAAATTAGTAAAAAAAAAAAGTGTTAAACTTATGGGAAGTGTTAGGCTACTAAATTATCACTAAAAAGTAAAAATATTTCCAGTTTGAGCAGCAACACTAGACACATTATTAGATAGTATGGCTTTGGCACTCAATAGCTATTTCTCTTTCTCACGTGTAGGTTCTAGGAGTGGGACTTGGATGATCAGGCTTAACAGCAAGCATGCCTTACCTGGTGAGCTATACTGGCATTCCCGAAAAAAGTTTTCTTGTCACTTTCTTTTCTATTGCTGTTGCTGGGTTTTGAGATAAAGGTCTTGCTATGAAGCCAAGGCTGGCCTCAAACTCACAACCTCCCTGTTTCTGCCTTCTGAATGCTGGGATTATAGGGATCTATCACCATGCCAGGTTGGAGATAAAAATATTTTAACATTTAGGAAGGCCACAAACATGATGGTTGGGTAATGAAATTAAAGACTTTGACACTATATTTAATATTGTATAAATGGGCATCCAGAAACTCTTCCCTTGTCAACAGAACAAAGGTGAATGAAAACTTATGGAAGATGAGATCTTACACAAAACTAAGAAATTCCTAACAACAGTTAACTGAAGTTGTAGAATATATGACTCTTCATATTCAAAACTCATGCAACTATATTACACAAAGGTTTAAAGATAGCCTGATTTTATTTTTGTTTGTTTGGTTGGTTTTTGAGAAAGCATTTCTCTGTGTAGCCCTGGCTGTTCTGGAACTCACTCTCAAGACCAGGCAGGCCTTGAACTCAGATCCAGCTGCCTCTGCCTCCCAAGTTCTGGAATTAAAGATGTGTGCCACCCACTGCCCCAACTGATGGCCAAGTTTTGAATTTTAGCTTTTGGCACTCAATAGCTATTATGACTTCAGCACAAAGATCTTAATCTTTCTAAGTGTATTTCCTACTGGAAAAGTGCGATTATCTACATTTATTTTACAGGTATTATTGTACAGTACTACTGACAATTAACTGAAATAATCCATATAACATAGAGTGAACAAAATGGCTGGCATACACCACTAGGTCGAATGATAAACACTGAAAAGATGCATGGCATCATGCTCCCATTTACACAAGAAGCATCTCTAAAACTTCATTCATTACAACTGGCTCCCAAAGCCAGCTTTTATAACTTCAATATGATTTCACATTTGCCACCCCATTTGTTTTTCATAGGAACCTTAACCATACACAAAAGCAATTGCCACCATGTCATATCCTTGGGTTGTTTAAGTAACTTTGCAGAGGCTACATCTTATTCATCAGTAATCCTTGACAAGCAGCCTAGTCTCCAGCTTTCACTCTAGAGAAACCTTCTCTAGCACACTGCTTGCTTTACACATCATCACTGGGATAAGCAAGTAGGTACTTCTTTGCTCATCTCCCTTAAAGAAATAATAAACCTGGTCCCAAAATACTGAGGAAATGGAAAGCTAGGTGTGGTGGTGCATACCCGTAACCCCAGCAGTTGTGCAGACAAGCCAGTAAGATCTGAAGTTCAAGGTTATCCTCTGCTACAAATCCAGATGGGTGGCAGCCTGAACTGCATGACATTTTATCTCAAAAAATAGTAATGCTGAGGGCTGGTGAGATGGCTCAGAGGTTAAGAGCACTGCTTACTCTTCCAGAGGTCCTGAGTTCAATTCCCAGCAACCACATGGTGGCTCACAACCATCTAAGTGAGATCTGGTTCCCTCTTCTGGCGAGCTGACATATGTGTAGGCAGAAACTGTGTACATAATAAACAAATCTTTAAAAAAAAATAGTAATGCTGAAATGTGATATATGGGTGTGACTGCATGACTTGATTTTACTGCCAGTTTTGGGAAAGGACACAGTAAGCAGCTCAACGAGCTCAGACGGTTGCTTCCAAAGGCTCAGAAACGAGTTTTATTCCCCCTACCTTACTCTCCTTCAAAGTCAGCTTCAACTGCTCCAGTTCCTCCCTGTGCTTCTGCTCCATTTCTCGCTCCAACTTTGCTACATCTTCAGTGAGTTGTTTCCTCCTCTTTTTGTCATTTTTGGGAACAGCGTTCTTCATTCCCTGAATTTTGGCTAAAAGGTTACCAAATCCATCGTGTCAGAGCCCCCAGGAAGAGCGAAAAGCAGGAGTAAAATGTCGAGAGGCGTAATTATAGAATGTAATGTAATTATAGAAGCAATTAGTCATGACACAACAATCAGCTACAGAGAAAGGCCCGGATGACGCTTGAGATCCAACATACACCTCGCAAACCCAACCACCTTGAATACGTTTGGTTTGACAGGGCAAAATGAAGTTACAAAATAACACAATTTCTGCCTGTCAAATAGCAAAGTAAAGCAATTCGACCACACTACTAAGGTCAAGTGTTAGGAACCGGGCAGGAATGGGAAAGGTGGCAGAGGAGGACCAAGCCCCCGGCCTCCAGGGCCACCAGCAGCAGCAGAAGCGCAGCACCGGCTCGGGGTCCGCTGCTGGCAGCCCAAGGGGACACCTCCGAGGACTGCAAATGGGGGCCGGGCGAGAGGGGAAGGCTGGAGAAGGCACACCAAAGTCATCTGCGGGGGAATGCACGCTGCAGGCCGGCCGCCCCTCCAGGTCCTCGGGGTCACACGCCACGCTCCCAGCCCTGGGTGGGGACGACCTTCAGATCCCCAGCCCCTCTGCCGTCACCTTGCAGCTCCTTCTTCTCCTTGCGATGCCTTCTCAGCAGCTGCTCTTCCTCGTCCAGCTCTTCTGCCAGGACCTCCTCCATGACGACCAGGTGGCGGGGCACACGCGCGGGGCGAGCCGCGCACGGCAGGCGGGCCAGTACCTCCCACCCCTCAACCCTCACCCCGGGCGCCATTGGTCGCCGCCGAGGCCCAGCCCCGCCTCATGGCGGCTCCGGATCCAGGGCTAACCACTGAAACCCGGAGAGGCCGGCATGGGCCAGGGCGCCTGCGCGCTCCCACCGCTCCGGACGGCGCGCCGGAAGCTGAGACTCGGCGACGGAACCCGCTCCTGGCCCCGGTGTTTCTCAAGCGCCAGGCGATTGGCCCTGATGGGAGGCGCGCGGGGATGGCGTCACGAACGCGCAGCTTTCAATTTTGTGCTTTGAAACTTTGTTTAGTGTTTGCACCCTTCGCTAGGATATGTTGTTTTTTGTTTGTATTGTGTGTGTGTGTGTGTGTGTGTGTGTGTGTGTGTGTGTGTGTTTTAATAAAAGTGTGTTGATCCTGGGGTGGTGGTGCACACCTTTAATCCCAGCACTCGGGAGGTAGAGGCAGACGGATCTCTGTGGTTCGAAGCCGGCCTGGTCTATAGAGTGAGTTCCAGGACAGTCGGGGCTACACAGTTAAACCCTGTCTCGGAAAAAAACAAAATAAATAAATAAAATAAAAAATAGGAGTGTGCATTGTTTTCAATAAGGGCTATTACGTTGCATCAATCATACTGTAGAGAATTAAGGTTTTTGTTCGTTTGCAACTGGCGAAAGGGGGAAAGCTAAGGAATTTAAGAAATGCCTACTCTGGAAATGGACACAAGTAGTAAAGAGATTTATGAAATGGATTAAGTGTTCATCGATAAGACCTTAATTCAATGATAAAAGTAAGGCCAGATTGTTTTCAAGGTTTGAATCAAGAGTCAACACCTATAAATTGTATGTGCCACAAAATCAAATTACTGAAGTAAGGGCAAACAAGAATTCTCACAGAATGGTGCTGGGTAAGTGGAAGGCCCAGAGGGCTGGTCCAGTAAAAAAACAAAAATCTGTTTTTAGAACTGGGCTTGATTGTGTATGCCTTTAATCTCAGTTGGTCAGAGGCAGGGGCAAGCAGATTTCTGTGAGTTCAACGCTAACCTGGTCTACACAGTGAGTTCCATGATAGATTAACCCTAACCCTGTCTCAAAAATTGTGTGTGTGTGTGTGTGTGTGTGTGTGTGAGTTAACTAATAGGAAATAGGAATGCCTGAACCAGAACAAAACAAATGAAGTTGAAAAAATTATTCTGAAAAGAATTGAAGACAGTTTTCCAAAGATGAACAATGAACTTGGCCTACAAACTGAAGAGAAAACATCTAGATGTTTTCTGTTTTCTCAAATTTCAAGGTCAGAGGAGGGAAAAGTATCCACACTGAAAAATCAAGTTATGATCTTAGATTTTTTTTCATGCAACTCTAAATGCCAGGAACAAAACAGAATACAAATCATAGAGAAAAGTAGTTTTGATATGAGACCTGTATACCCTGCCAGCTTTAGAGTGTGGAGACACCAGACCTTGAGCAGAGACCCACTTCCCCTTCGGCCTGGGAGTAGGCAGCTGTAAGACAATGTTTATTAAAAACATGTTTACCAAAAACAATACAATGCCCGGGGCAATAAGTTCCTGGAAAAGGCCTGCCCACGGAAACCGCCCTGACCTCGACCTTGTCCAAAGACTAACTGCCTCTTCTGACACGCCCAGATCAGTTTTTGGTGTCAGAGCAGAACCAGCCAGGGAGGAGAGAGCAGAAGCTTCTCTGGAGGGAGCCTTTCTTAGGAAGTTTTCTTGAACCTTTTTGGGGCCTGCTTAAAGTTTTCTTTACATCGTTGAACGAGTCTCTGTGTTGTCAATCCCCGACACCCTCCGCACATTCTCTGACACAGGCTGCGTAGCTGACGTGGCATTAGAGACTATAGGGATTCATGGAGTTGGACTAAATACACCTTGCATTATAATATAGACACTAGGCTACAGGGATCAGTAAGTTGAACATGGAGGTTTGATTGCCAATGCCCCCATAGGCTTACATGTGTGAATTTATGGTCCCCAGTTGGTGACACTGTTTGGGTGGGTATAGGAGTTATGATGTTGCTGGTGAAAGTATGTCATTGGGGGTTGGCCTTTTGATTCACAGGCCATGTGCCATCCAGTTTTGTTGGGATGGTGGTGGTGTGATGACAGTCGTTTTGCGGCTTTGCTGTTTCTCTATTTCCAGCTTGTGATTAGAGAAATTGAACTCTTAGCATCAAGATTCTGCTGCTTCTACTCCACCGTCATGGACTCTGACCCTCAGGAAATTAAGTCAAATAAATTGGCTTGATTGTCATGTTTTATCACAACTATAGAATAGTTGCTAATACAGCAACAGGAAGAAATTCTCAACTGTTCAATGGTTAAGAAAATATGTCAGGGAAGAACTTTCTCTGAAATTTTTGCTGACAGATGTAGTGTAGTTAATCAAGAACACCATTTAAAAGACTGAAGTGGGAGAAAATTGCATGGAAAAAATAGTAGTATGGAAACAAAGGGGATGAAGCTTGAATTATGTAAAATAATAAAATGAAAAAGATTTGAAGCTTGGGTCTAAATTTTTCAGTTTATATATTTCTAATCTCAAGAACATGACAAACAACTAATATATTGAGCAAATAAATTCTTTTTCATTCTTGACATAAGGTGATATACTGAGAGACATACATGATTTTGAGCTAAATATATGTAAAATGCTTTGTCACTGTGAACCGGACCATTCAAAATATTAAGCTTACAAAATTGGGAAACTAAAGACCAATTACCTATATATTCAGTTAGAGGGAAAATAGCAAGTGTATTAAAAATGTTAGCACTTAGAAGAAAACAAGATTTGGGAACAATTCAAGAATTTAACATGCTGCGTTTCTATTTAAGAGACTTTATGTGATAAATAACATTGTATTCATTATAAGGTCAAAGATCTGAGACAAAGAGATGAAGATATTACAGTCAACCCTGACAACCTGAGATCATGATGAACCAAGGAAACCAAGCCCTGTATGTTTTCCTCTAACCTCCACATATGCACTGTGGTATGCTGTGTATGTATGTGTCCTTTTCACATACATACAAAATACATAAATGTAATAAAATATTTCAAAATCATCAACCCATATCATGTGTGCATGGTAGTTTGATTGCTATAAATCAGCATATATAAATTTTGAAATGTATAAATCATATTCATGAAGTATACTCGCTAGTTAAACATATATGTATCTATCAAAACTGTTAGCTTTGATAAGTGGTATAAATGGAGATTTAAGAGATAATAAAAAGGGCTGAAGAACTGGCTTATCGGTTAAGAGCACTGACTGCTCTTCCAGAGGTCCTAAGTTCAATTCCCAGCTACCACATAATGGCTCACAACCACCTGTATCAGAGATCTGGTACTTCTTCTGGCTTGTAGGCATGCATTCATCAGAACGCTGTATACATAATAAAAACATTTTTTAAAACATGACAAGTATATTAGGAGTATGAGATATGCATATTGCTTTGTTAACTTATTTCCATTCTTTGTATACTATCCTGAAGCATTTCTAGATGCTTTCACAATATGACCCTGAGAAAACTTGAAATATGTCTAGAAATCACAAATAACAAAATTGGGGGGGGCGACAACAGAAGTTTCCAAGTTTAAAAACTAAACAATCATATTTATAATTTTTTTTGGTTTTATGAGACAGGGTTTCTCTGTATTGTTTTGGAGGCTGTCGGTCCAGCCCAGCCTTGAACTCACAGAGATCCGCCTGCCTCCTGAGTGCTGGGATTAAAGGCGTGCACCACCACCGCCCGGCACATATTTATAATTTTTAGTGTGCTTACAGTCATTGGGACGAGAGGATGTGTCAAGCAGAGGACAACTCCTTACAGATTTTCACCTTTTACTACACAGGTTCCAGGGATCAAATGAGATAACTATAACAAATATTGGTGGTTTAGGAAATACAGTGATGTGTTTATGATATAGACGGAAGAAGCCAAAGAACAGAGAATAAAAACACCAGACAAAGAATAGAATATACACTTAGGAAAGAGGAACTGAATTTTAAGTTTTTGCTTTATTGTACATGTGGAAATAGTATGCCTGCCTAGTGGGTTTCCTCTAAATACAAACTGCTCTAGGAGCTGTAACTAACCTCTTAGTAATAGATTTCTCTCAATGGAATCTTAATTGAACAAAGCAGATTCTGATCACCTGGCAAAAATTGACTCTCAAAGGGGAGAAACGGAAGCTTCTTGACTTCCCATTCCCCGCATATTTCCTCACCATTGCAGATCTCCATAGGTTTCCTGATTTGCAGTCTTTCTTTCTTTTCTTTTCTTTTCTTTTTTCTTTTTTTTTTTTTTGTAGAAATACCAACCACAGAAAGTCAGCATCAGCACAGCCTAGGAACTTCTTAGATCAACAGTATCCCAAGCCAATAACATCAAGGAAATAGGGAGTAAAGTCATACTAAGCATCTACAACTGTTTCCTTTGGTGCAGCATCTTCTGTGTTTTGTGTGCTCAGTAAATATTAGTCTGTCATTAAACTTTACAGTTTGCTTAGGTAGCATGATATACAATTTTACTCTCATAACCGGAACTATTGCAACTTCACCATTTTAACCAACCAAATATCCAAATACAATGCTTCCAAGATCATGATCTAATCATTTAACTGGTGATGTGCATGTAAGTATAAACATTGCCAATAATTAGAGTATAAGCTGTAATAGGACATTTAAGGCTGTTAATATTTGCCAGTAGTCACTCCTGAGGTGATGCCACCTTTGTGTTAGCATGCAATCAATTGGCAAGAGATTATGTTAAGATGAAGCTTTAAATTAAACCTAGAATTGTTTCCTTTCAAGATCACATGTTGCTGATACTGCCAATTAGCACCAAACTCGAAAGTAAAGAAATGATGAAAATCTTTATTCTATATCCAGTAACCATGAAAATGAGTCTCAAACTGTTAATTGGCTTAGCACCACATAAAAATTAACAAGACCTAATCTTATTTTGAGGCTAGATTTTTGCCTTTCATCTATACTATACTAAAAAGATTGCTATGAAAACAAAGATTAAAAAGAAAGCCAAGATCATACTTTCAGTGAATAGTAGCAAAGAGATAATAAGGAATAAGGCAGTAGTGGCACACACTGGAATTAACCAGTGCTCAAGAGGAAGAGGCCAGTGGATCTCTGAGCTCAAGACCAGTCTGGTCTATAGATCTAGTTCTAGAACAGCCAGGGCTACACAGAAAAAAAAAACTGTCTCAAAAACAAAATGAGGAATTACTGCTGAAACTCAAAGCCAACAACATTTCTCATACTAATAATTACTTTTTGGGTGGGGACGTGAGACAAGGTTTCTCTGTGTAGCTTTGGAGTCTGTCCTGTAACTCTCTCTGTAAAAAAGGCTGTCCTGGAACTCACAGTGATCTGCCTGCCTCTGTCTCCAGAGTGCTGGCATGCACCACCACCCAGCTGTATGATTACATCTCTTCTACAGAAGCTACACTAGTGAGGATAAGGTACTAATATGATTTTTATAGTGGACTTTTACTGTCTGTGTAGAGTGTCATGTGACAATCTAATTTCATTTTCCTGAAAAAAATCCTTCAACTTAAAATTGTACAATAACATTATTGTGATACTAAGTTTTGGAAGTCTTAATATTTCTCATTAAGATACTTCACTCATAGCTTTTTACCCTGATTATAATAGAGTCATTAATGCTGTTTATTTAGAGTAACATGGTAAATTGAGTAAAGAATAAAAGCCCTGGAGAAATGAAAAGAACTCCAATTTTATTAAATTTGTCTTATTTTAGAAAAACAAGAAACAAATTACCATATTTAATTTATAAAGACAATTTACAAATTACTGAACAGAAAAGTAAAGAGTAACTCATTTTAAACTTTGGTCTTATTTATAATCACTTGTCTAGTTAAAATAGTTCTTATTTACATATTTCTTTAAACAATTTCTATAGTAGTTATTCCTTTCATAGTAGTTATTCTAACTCCTTAATATTTAAGGTGTTTATAAAATACTACATTGAGATTCCCTGGGGACACACCAGTCACACTGGCCAGGGAAGATGGTAATTAGATAGAACTAGAAAAAAAATCATCCTAAGTGAGTTAACCCAGATCCAGAAAGGCAAATATGCTAAGTATTCAGTTATATGTGAAAGTTAGTGTTGTGCCCAAATTCTGAACCCCAAAATCACCAAGAGGCCCATTTCGATGCAAAAGCAAAGAAAGAGTCTTTTATTGTAGACGTTTAACAAGCTAACCCCATTAGCTTGGGCTTCACACCACCACCATGGCGAATGGCTGGAGAAAGATTCCAAGCAACCTCGAGTCAGGGACCTTAAAGGGCAGCATAAGGGGAGTGTCTAGTGGTATGAAACAATCTCAGGATGGGTGCACTTCGAGGTTTGGGTGACCTGCCCTGTGTTGATTGGTCAACTGGTTGTTATGGCCCATAGGCCCTCCCAGGGCGGTTGCTATGTTTTGCACATCACTGTTGTGCACTGTCGGTAAAGCACACCCAGAGCCATAAAGCACAGCCCTGCCAGCTAACTTCTGATTGGTTCCTTGCCACGAGGAGGGCATCTGACCTCCTAGTGACCAGGACAGGAGCAGCAAGATCATGCAAGCACGTGTTAGGCTGTAATGGCTGCTAAAATGGGGGACTGGTCACATTAGCTTTTAGGTCAAAGGTAGCTAAGTTACAATTCATAGAACCACAGGGAGTAGGTATGGAGCAAGCTATTGGGATGGGACAGGTAGATCCCAAGGAAAGGGAAATAGAACAGATAGTTATGGATAGAGGATGGGGAGAGACATCTCTTGCACCCAATAAAGCCTCCAATACTGGGAATAGGTTACATCTAATTGAGTTGTGGGGCTTAGGGGTCCAATACAAAGCTCCAAACAATCCAGGCTACTGTCAAGACTATAGGTTGCTCTCCACAAACTAATAGCAAGTCCCCGATTGCTAAAGATGATACCTAAACAACTCATTGAACATGGAGAAGTTGAGCTGGTGCCTCCTTAGAGCCTTCATCCAGACTAGTGTTCTTGGTACTTGAAGGTACTCTGCATACTACCAAAGGAGAAATGTAAAAACCAACCCAGCTAGAAACCTTTCAATCTACAATGGTGTCCTGCCTACAAGATATGCTAGTGTCTGATTTTACTTAAGGTTCACTCTGTAAAATGAAATACACATGCTGCTTGGGTGACCAAGAACCTGAGACTAGATAGATTGAGAATGAAGGGTCAAACTAAATACACTGTTCTCCTAAAGGAATGTAACAACAAAATTACTTGTAATGACATTCTTCTACACTCATTGATCAATGTCTTGCCTAACCATCATCAGAGAAGCTTCCTTCTGCAGCAGATGGGAACAAACACAGAGACCCACAGACAGACAATAATCGAGAGTGGGAGACCTTTGAACACTTTGCTTTATATGGGATGTCTCCATCAAATCCCTCCCCTCATGCCTCAGAGAACCCTGAAGAAGAGGAGGCAGGAAGAGTGTAAGCACCAGAGCAGACAAAAACCACCAAGGAAACAAGGCCTTCCAAATACAGCAGGACCAACACACATGTGAACACACAGAGACTGAGGCAGCATGAACAGAGCCTGCACATGTCTGCATCAGGTGGGGTCCTAGAGCTGAAAGGAGAAATGGACGCACATGCTTCCATCCCTTACCCAGAAGCTACCCCCGACTGATAAAACCTGCAAATGAAAATTGGGTTTCTCCAGGGTAGTCTCACTGGGGAAGCAAAGTACTCTTAAGGGTAGGACACAAGCCCAGCTTTAGATAGCCAATGGAAAATGAACTCAACAAGATCTTCAGAATTTCCTTGTCTCATACTCTGATGTTGAGATTTTTTTCTAAATTTTATTATTTTTTATTTTATTTCTCTGTCTCTGTCTCTCTTCTTCTCCTTCTCCTTCTCCTCCTCCTCCTCCTTCTTCTTCTTCCCTATTCATCCTTTGCATATATATTATGACTTCCAGTTTTGTGATTTTATGGCATTCCCGAATACGAGGACAAATGGGTCTCTGCATAAATAGCTGTTTCTTGTGCCTTTTCTTGGGCTGTTTTCCTTCTATTTGTTAGTTTTGTCCTATTCCAATGTGTTTATTCTTGTCTTATTTTATTACTATCCCTTAGAAGCCTGATTGTTTTCTAATGAGAGAAAGAAAGGGAGTGGATCCAAATGGGAGGAGAGTTGAGGAGAAACTTGGAGGAATAGAAGGAGAGGAAACCATAATTAGGATATATTATATGAAAATTAATCATTTTTTGAAAAAGAAAAATTCCACATTGAATTTTTATTGCATAGTACTTATTTTTAATAACATTATTTGCAAATGACGTTTGTATAGATGTTTCCCATTCCTTTTTTCAGTTTTAGTCCCATATTGGTCTGTAAAAATCTACTTATAATTGATGGTCTAGTAGAAATAGTAGTTTAAGGTCGTATTTGATCTCTCGAGCTCTATTTGTATACATTGGTTTGGCCTGAAAAAAATCAAATGCCAAAAGCAAGATGGTTTAAATTTAAAAAGAAATATATTGTCTCATGATTATAAAGACAAAAGTCCACAATCAGGATTTTGGCAAGGCTGTTCTCCCACTGAAAACACTAAGGCTGAGATCTATTATTTACTTATTAACTTTCAGAATTTTTTTCTTTTTATCTAGTGTCTTAAAGTAGAAGCTGTGACTACTGATTTAGAACATTCTTTGTTCTAATATATGCAGTTTCATTGGAATTTTTCCCTAGTGTTGTTTTAAATATTCCAGAAATGATTATGTCTTTCATTTTCATTTCTATTCTACTTTCTGTTAAGTCCAAATAGAAAATCCCTAAACACCCTTCAAGAGCAAGCAAAAATGTCAGTCTGGCCTCTGCTCAGAGCTTACCAGGACTCTGACCTGGTAAACATAGCATTCCTCAGAAATCTTGTAAAGTGGGTTTCTGCTGTCCAGGAAAAACCATTACAACCCTATAATGCCCAACCTCTGGAAAGGGCATCCAGTTTCTATTAACTTAAACAAGCTTCCAACAGACTAGAGCCTAATATTAGCACAGGCTGTTGCAGCTGACTTACCTTCCACTCTCCAATTATAACCCTTTATGACTGGAAAGACCCACATCCTACCCTGGGTGTGCCACCACGTTTGCCTCTCTCTCTCTCTCTCTCTCTCTCTCTCTCTCTCTCTCTCTCTCTCTCTCTCTCTCTCTCTCCCTCCCTCCCTCTCTCACCCTCTCTCACCCTCACTCCCTCTCCCTCCTTCTCTCCCCTCCTCTCTCTCCTATCTACAATAAAAACCTTACCCCTCCCCCAACCATGGAGTGGAGTGATCAGTTCAGAGATTTCTTTACTGAACCCTCTCTTGCACTTTCTTCCACCCATTAGCATGAACCAGAGTCTGGCATTGTTCCAAAGCTATTTTGTTGTTGTGCTGGTTTTGCTCTTTTGAAATAGGGATACCACCTTAAACTACTAAGACCCTGGACTGAGATTATCATGTCTCCCAGCTGATGTTACCATACCAGTGAAAATAATCGTATTTATCTTCAGCACCCTTCTTCAAAACCAATGACTTAGATACTCCACATAAGCCAGTATTGTGAGAACATTCCTGAGGAGACAAAGAGACCAGTATTAGCCCATATAAATGATTCCACCTGAATCTAGCTTTCGTTACTTACAGAATCTGGGATGAGTGTTTACTTACAAGAGCATGAGAAACTTGGAAAGAGCCACACCACAGGAAGAAAAAATTCTTTCCCGGAGAACTGTAACTGCCTATACATACTCAGGGAGGGCTCGAGCCTTGTGGAATCCCCCCACCCCCGACAGCTCTAGGATGGAATGCTAATAGGCTCAGTCTTCTACAGGTTTCATGTGGGTGATCACAGCCATGGACAGTTCAAGAGGGCAAACGCTATATAATGCCCACAGTACAGTACTCGGCCCTTCCTCCAGTTCATACATTGTTTAAGCTCTCTTTTACAATGTTTCCCAAGCCATAAATGGTTGATATGAACAGTCCACCTACCCTGAGCATTCATGAGTCACTGTTTTTTCAGTATTGTATTATTTAGGATTTTATTGATGTGAAGAGACACCATGACCACAGCAACTTTTACAAAGGAAAATGTAACAAGCATTCTTCCTGCTAGCCTGGTCCCAGAGCTGCATCAGTCCCAAATGAACACACAGGATGCTATATTAATTATGAAGCTGTTGGCCATTTTCTGTGGTTTCTTATTGGCTAGCTCTGACTTAATTATTAACCCATAACTGCTAATCAGAGTATTTCTACGTGATCTTCTCTTACCGGAGAAAGGGTCCAGACATCTTACTCCTCTCGTGTCCTACATGGTGACTGACTGTGCTTCCATTTCCCCAAATCCTCTATCTCTCCTAGTCCCACCTATCTTGCTTCCCTATTTGCCAACAGTGTTTTATTCATCAAGCAACAAGACAAACATATACACAGAAGGACTTCCCCCATCAGGAAAATATTTAATTAGGATTGACTTTCAGTTTCAAAGTTTTAGTCCATTGTTATCACCGTGGGCAGCATGGTATTGGGCAGACAGACTTGGTGCTAGTGAAGTTGCTTAGAGCTCTACATCTGTACCTGCAGGTAGCAGGCAGAGAACTGTGAGCCACTAGGCCTGGTTTGAGCTTCTGAGACCTCAAAGCCCACCCCCTAATGACACACCTCCTCCTACAAAGCCACTTTTTGCTTCAACAAGGCCACACCTCCTAATGGTGCCTCTCCTTATGGCCAAGCATTCAAACAAATGGGTCTATGGAGGCCATTCCTCTTCAAACCATAAGTACTTTGACCAGTTGTGAATTTATGCACCCCTCACTGAGTAAAATTTTTTTCTTGACCCAAGATGACAGCAAGAATAGTCTATGAGCTTAAGCACGATAGAGAGTAATGACAGACAGATCGCATATATTTAGCAAGCAACCACAATGCTTACCCACTAGGACCTGAGTTCCCATGCTCAGGCCTTTGCCATGGTTTATAGTCTCGGGTGGGAATTCCCTGGAGCTGACTTTAAGTCTGATTAGTCAGGTGTGATGGTGCACACCTTTAACCCCAGCACTCAGGAGGCAGAGGTAGGTGGACCTCTGTGAGTTTGAGCTGGCCTACAAAGTGAATTTCAGGACAGCCAGGACTATGTAGAAAGACCCTGTCTCAAAAACATCAAATTAGAAAGCAATTGATTGTCCCATATCAATTGTGCCATAATCCATTGCACCAGTGGCACACCCAGCCATTCATGTTTATAGTATAGTACACAAGGTCCACATGTGAGCAGGATTTCTGACCACATTTTCCCCATCTGACTACACACACCTTCTGGCACTATTGCAGCAAGCCAATAGGGAGTAAGAGTCCAGCCAAATCCCAGCTTGGTTTCTTCGTGTTCTGTTGCCAGAGCATACAGTGTCTTCAACAATGGGTTCTTAGTGTCTAGTTCTGGTGGGCAACCAACACAAGTAGCAATAACCTGTATTGTGTCAGGGGTCATGGCATCCTCTGTGGCCAAAACCTCTTAAGAAGACCATCTTGGCACCAGTGCTTTTAGTAATAACCTTATAGTTTCTGGGATCATTTTTTTCAGTTCTTTAAGCATTCTTTTTATGTTTTCAGGAATGAGCCACTGGATGGTTTTCTTGCTCAACTTACTATATGCCCTCTGTGTCTTGCTCAACCACAAAGTTCCCAAGAATTTTACAGCTGTGCCTGGTTCTTGCAGCTGTGGGCCTGGACTTCACACCCTTAATCGAGTGCTTGCCAAGCTCTCAGATACCTCCCTAGGTCCAGCATACACACGGAGTTCAGCATGGCATCTATGAAATGAAACTATTTTGGGTGCCAGCGAGATGGCTTAGCAGACAAAAGCATTCACCACACAGGCCTGATGACCTGTGTTCAATCCCCAGAACTCACTGAAAAGCTCAATGTGGTGGTGTGTGTCTGAAATCCCAGCAGGAAGCTTGTAAGCCACCCAGCTTGGAGTAGGCTACACAGGGACAGCAACAGACTAGGCCCTGTCTCAGTGTGGCAGAAGGAGATGTAACTGACCCAGAAAGTTCACACACACACACACACACACACACACACACACACACACACACACATAAGTGACTCCCCACAGCCCTCCATTCCTAGAAAATTCCAGTGGGGTGAGAAAGTAGCAAAGTCCAATAGAGCATGGAAAAAAATCATCACTTGTATCTGTTGTTTCCTAAAAATATCAGTGTTGTGTATAGTGGCATAAATGGCAGGCACCCCTTAGTCAGTTATCCTCCATGAGTCATCCTCTCTTCTCAACTTGGGATGCTGCCTCACCCAGCTCTCATGAATCTCCTGGCACGTTCAATAGTTGGATGGCCCTGTGATATCTGTCGTTGCTCTGACCAGTCTAAGACCAAGGCAGAATACAGCCATACTGTCACCTGCTATGTGCCCACAGGCTCCCCAGCTCTGATAGTCTCGGGGCTTGAGCCACAGCTGACTGTAGTCTGCCACTGATTACCCGCCTGCTGAGAGGACCCTGGGCTAGGCAAGCAATTTCCACACGCAGTCCATTTTGCTGCAGGAGAGAAATGTACACAGCTTCCTGGGTGAGGATGGGGTAGGGGAGGAGCTGGGCATAACTGCCCATCCCTGGAACAGGCTTAGTATTTTCCCTGTGCTGTATTAGACTCACATCTTTGATAAAATTCACTCAGGATTGAAGCCTTCCAGAGGCAGATGTATTGAGTTAGCCTTCTGTCAGTTTTTTCCTTAGAAAGTTGGAAGTCTTGCTACATTTGTTTCCATGTGACCTAGACAGGATGTTTTGGTTTTTTTACTGTGTTTTCTCATTCTTGTCACCTTCCATTTATGTTAGCACTTTACAAACATGATTACACGCCAGCCTAATTCATCCAGTTCTACCAGAGTCTCTCCTACCTCATAAAGATCATGCCACAGCCTGGGACTCAGCTGAACCACTTTTGAACTCAGTGTGGAAGCAACCTCTTTCATAAGTCGCCTGTGGACAATCCTGCCTGGTCTAGTGAACTGGCCACCAAATACCACCTCTTGAATGCCCCATTCTCTGTCTTTCCTCTAATATTCTTCAGCACCTTATATTCATGGGGACTTTGGCCAACAGAAACTAAGTGTCCCTGACAGTATAAGCCCATCCATAAGGGACAGATTTCTCTCATATTGCTTTAGATTACTCTGTCTTGAACTTTACAAGGGGTGGGAAGATCCCTTTGTCAAATTTGTCTTGGGACAAATAATTTTACCTTTTAATAATTGCTCCACAATTTATTGACCTAATCTCATACTGTTCAAAACTAGGACTAGTTCATATATTTAGCTATTAAGAGGTTGCTAGGATTGTGTTGCAATATATAAAATGCAATTTGGAGTATATAATTTCTATTAAGAAAGTGAAATTTCACACTGGACAGTGATGGTGCATACCTTTAATCCCAGCACTTGGGAGGCAGAGGCAGGCAGAAGTCAGTGAGTTCTAGGCAAGCATGGTCTACAAAGCAAGTTCCAGGACACCCAAGACTGTTAAACAGAGAAACCGTGTCTTGAAAAACCAGGGAGAGAGAGAGAGAGAGAGAGAGAGAGAGAGAGAGAGAGAGAGAGAGAGAGAGAGAGAGAGAGAGAGAGAGAGAGAAATGGAGAGAGAGAGAGAAATGGAGAGAGAGAGAGAGAAATGGAGAGAGAGAGAGAGAGAGAAATGGAGAGAGAGAGAGAGAGAGAGAGAGAGAAATGGAGAGAGAGAGAGGGAGAGAGGGAGGGAGGGAGGGAGAGAGAGAGAGACAGAAAGAGAGAGAGAGACATAGAGACAGAGGGCTGGAGAGATGACTCAGGGGTTAAGAGCATTGACTTTTCTTCCAGAGGTCCTGAGTTCATTTCTCAGCAAAAACATGATGGCTCACAATCATCTGTAATGAGACCTAATGTCCACTTCTGATCTGCAGGCATATATACAGACAGAATACTATCTACATAATCAATAAGTAAATCTTTTAAAATATACACATAATTAATTTTTAATAAAAGAAAGTGTAATTTCTGAGTCGAACTCTTTTTTTTTTCTTAGTTTTTCGAGACAGGGTTTCTCTGTGGCTTTGGAGGCTGTCCTGGAACTCGCTTGGTAGTCCAGGCTGGTCTCGAACTTACAGAGATCCGCCTGCCTCTGCCTCCCGAGTGCTGGGATTAAAGGCGTGTGCCACCAATGCCTGGCTGATCGAACTCTTTTTTACCTGAGACCATAGAACTCTTTTTAAAAGACATTTCTTTGTTTACTGTAGTCTGTGTTAAATAAATCAACAAGGTTTGTGTCTATTTAATTTTACATAAATTGGATAATTTTATCATGTTTTTCTGTATCGTGCTTTTACTTAATTATTTTGGAAGCATTCACTATCAGCACATGGAGATTTGTGTCATTATCTTTAGATCTGTGTTTATAGCATTATATATATATATGTATGTACAGACATATATATGTATATATATATAATGTCCCAAGTGTTGATGTGTCTAGCCTTTTTTATTGTCCAAATATTAACATATGAAAATACAGATTTATGTAATAATAAATAACAAATATAATAAAATGTTAATGGATGCATTGTATATATGATATATATGTCTCATATATACGTCTCAAACGATTAGATGGATTTCCTTTTTAAAGTAATATTGGGGCTAGGGATGGAGGTAAATGTTAGACTTGCCCAGAATATGTGAGGTTTTGGGTTTGATACCCAAAACTGGAAAAATATATTTGTAATGTTAATCTTACATTTGAGGAGTTGTGGTTCAGTTTGAGCTGCCATAAAAAATAAAACAGATTTAGAGTGTACAAAGCTCCACGATAAAAGGCATTAGGTTTATGGGCAGGTGAAAGTTCTCCTTCTGATTTGAAGGTGGTCATACTTATGTAACTGTGTTGTTAGGTAACACATGCCCTGGCATGCTTGATGAGAGAGTAAGCTAATCAGTGCTCAATACTTCTAATTAAAGACAGAGATGGCTCAGCAGTA